TGTGTGTGTGTGTGTGTGTTGCAGCTAAAGATGTGGTGAGGAAGCTGCTGGTTGTTGATCCCAGTGACAGGATGACGATAGAAGAAGCTCTGTCTCATCCCTGGTTACAGGTAACTAACTAATACTATTAGTTACGTTACACGGTCACAGTACTTCATGTTGTCACGTTAACACAGTACTTCATTGCATTACCACAGTCCCAGTATGGCAGGTGCATTATGGGAAATATAGTTTGTGGGTGTGGACTCATGAAGCTGTGGCATTTGTAGGATCATGTGATGATGGCGACTGCTTACAGGCTGATGTACCCTGCTGGAGACGCTGCTGCCATGGTAACCACACACACGCACGCACACACACACACACACACACGCACACACACACACACACAGTTGGTAGGACTCACTTTGACCCCTCCTTCTACAGGAGGCGGAGTCAACCTCTGGGAGGAAACGAGCACGAGAAGGAGACGAAGACGATGAACACCCCGGAAAACGGATCCAAGCCCCACCCCCTGTCCTGTTGTAGTGGACCAATCCGATTCAGGCGTTCCTCGGGTCATGTGACTCAGCTGTTCCCTGCTGAAACTGTCCAGTGTAAATAAAGTTTCAAATGTTTTTCTAATAAATCTTTTTATATTTTTGAACTGATTCAATGTTTCCTTGTCATGTGATGACATCAGCTGATCACACGTCTTCATCATCACTGGTGAGATGAGTCATGTGACTAAAATCTAAAAGTAAAAATAGTTTCTGTCTCTTTAAACTGATGATGAATTTTATAGTCACTCGACACCTCACATTCCATATCTGGAGTGTGTATAGTTACTGCACCGTAAGGAGGAACCAGATGTGCAGGTGGAAGACGAAGACGTCCACTTGGACAGACGAGGAGATTCCAGATGTTTTGGTGCAATACTATCAAGGACAGTTTGAAGTCCTGAGGTTGTACTATCCACTAAGTTATCGAGTTCTGCAGGAGCGAGGTTGAAAAGATTATCATGTGTTTCATTTATGCATGGCTGCAGAATAGAGGGAATTATCTCCTTGAATTTATCAATTTTGTTATCGGACAGTAACCGACTATGGGAGAATTTTTGACTCGCCTGAGTACCTTTGCTAGTCATAAATTCAAATGAGAGAAGGAAATGATCTGATAATAAAGGGTTGGAATCACACACTACTAGATTCTCAACATCAATGCCATGTGTCAGTATAAGGTCTAAGGTGTGGTTTAAGTTATGAGTTGGTTTATCTACGTGCTGACTGAAACCAAATGAATCTGTCAGAGAGTTAAACGCACCTCTAAGGCTATCATTGGCTTCATCAACATGAACGTTAAAGTCGCCCATGATGGTGATTTTATCTGCACTAAGGACTAATTCTGACAGAAATTCTGCAAATTCATTTAGAAACTCTTTATAAGCAGCGGGTGGGCGATAAAGGATGGTTAAATAAACAGATTATGTTGTTTGAGGGTGGGAAAGACAAAGGGTGAGGCTTTCAAACGATGTAAAATGTTCTTTAACTCGAGGGGTGATTGTAAGGTAAGAGTTTTATATTGCTGCTACCCCTCCACCTCTACCTGTACTTCAGGGAATATGTGTGTTACTGTGGGTTGCAGGTGTAGCTTCATTGAGGATCACAGATTC